TTAAAAATAAATGATGCAATTTTTTAATATGTTGTCAAAACGTCAGTAAATAATACAATTATTTAATTATAAATACATACCTTATTTAGCAATTCGATTAATTGACAATTCAATAATATTTCGATTAATATCATAATGATTTTCATTTTATTAATATTAATTAATATAATATATTATAATATTTAATTCACTTATTAGTTATTATTTAAATTTAAATGATTAAAAACAAAATTAGTTTTTTTCATTATCTAAAAAATGACTTTTGTATTTTCGTATCTTTCCATGATAATGTAATCAAACTTTTTGACATAAAACAATCAATAATGTATAATTTGAATATGTAATTTGTATATTTAATAAAAAATTTGATATAATTTTAAATTTTGATCTTAATTAAAAATGAAATTAAAATCAAAATACAAATAAGATATATTTAACAATTAGAATTAGAATTTAATAATCGGGATTAAAAACAAATTTCATAAAAAATGAAATATATAACATATTAGCATATTAAGAAAGAAATTACATTGTAAAAAATTAGGCGTATTGTGATAATTATCATATTATAAAAAATTGTACTATGATAGTGTTATCACTAATCAAAAATAACAATAATTTTTTAAGTCTTGAATTTTTAAATGAATTTTTCTTAAAAATTTTATTTATTTTGATCATTTAACAAAATTTTGTAAAAAATTGAGAATTTAATATATAAATATTTCACATGAAATAAAATGTTTTAAAATATTCTAATATTAAAATATCTTTTTATATTTTAAAATTAATACTAGTAAAAAATTAATATTTGTCATAAAATATTGTAAGTTTATTACAAATTTCAATATTTTCTATTTTTTCTAATTTAATGAGAAATCAAAGAAGAAGAAATAAGTATAATAAAAAATAATTATTTTCTATTTTCTTTCTTTATTTAAACGAAGAAGGAATTCGATATCAGATAAAAGAATTATATTTTAACACTACATACAGAAATTATTAAATATTTAAAGTGAAAAAATTATGTAATATGCAATAAAATTTCTTATTTATTATTTAAATTCTATTATTTTATTTTATTCTATAATTTTATGAATGCTATTTTATTTATTTTATTTTATAATTTTATGAATGCTCAAAAATGCTATTTTTATAATATATTATATAATTTCATAATTTCGTAGTACATTTTTCAATAGATAACATTTTTATAATATTTTAAATAAATAAATATCCGAATTGTTACACATCTAATTCCTTAGTTTGTCAAAAAAATAAATTATTTAAATAACAAAAAAATAGAACATTTAAATTTAGATTCAACGAAAATGTTTGTAACAAAATTCATAATTATATGTTCTCTTTATTGATTTTATTGTTTAAGATACGCGTGAGATGTACAAGAAATATATAACTATATATATAATAACTATTTGCATTTAATTATCATTAGTACAATAAATAGCAATTTTCCTTCAAAATGTTTCAACGCGATACATCTGTACTTCATTGCATAATGTTTTTGATATGCATACCAATATGTATTTATCGATTTTAATGATTGAAAGTAATATTAAATCGAAGAAAAATAACAGAAACAGCAGCAAGACATACGTGCACACCTGCTGTGAAAGAGTCGCTTAAAAGCGCGGTGCCCGTGACGATCATTTTAAAAGCAGCAGTCCGAGAGCAGACGATGAAAAAACTGACGAAGCGAAGGCAAGGGCGCTCTGGACCAGTATACATATACCTTTTATACGAAGTTCAGGGCCCCTCGCCAGTTGCTAGTCATCGGTTCTTCCGACTGTAAAGGTGCTGTTAGAACCTCTTTCATTAAATATATTTTTTCAAGTATAAATCAATTTTTGCTTTAATAAATAAATTGAGAAAATAATAAATTAATAATTAATTGTATTTTATATTTATATGTTATATATATGTTATATACTTGACAAATTTAAATGCCAGTAAAAGCTTGTATACAAAGAAAGTCAATAAGCATAAGTGCTCCATGGTAATTTACTCCAATTTTCATGGAAATAACTGTAAAGTTATATGGGTATGTCCAGTTTGATATGAATTTCTTTGTATAAAACATTGTATAAAACATGCCCGATTCACCATTATAATCATATATTTTTATACATATTTGAATCTGTGTATATATGTATCTATATGTATACATATTTTTTTATTCTATATTGTTTATTATTAGTATTGTGTTAATTGAATATTTGCATATATTATTTAAGTATTAGTATTATTAATAAATATTATTAATATTTATTTTGTTTGAAATTTATAAATAATCTTGTTTGAAATTATAAATAAAATTTATTTATAAATTTGCTACTATTTATTTATTTAAATATTGGTGAAGATATAAATTGATTTTAAATATTATTCTATTAAAAAAACTTTAGAAAATTAATTCTTACTAGAATGTAAAATATATATAAAGATACTATGAATAATCTTACTTAGAAATAATAGTATCAAATTTTTTATTAGTTTAATATATTTTTAATTAATTAATTCTTAACTTGTTTAAATTAAGAAAATAGAAAAAAATGATTTCGTAATTTTTATTTATTATATATATTTTTAATAAATTTTAATTCGAATGAACTGAAATATGTATGAAATTTGTTATAACAAATTTATAATATAATATTTATTCATTTTGAAAAGAGTAATTTATTTATATTTA